AACCTCGGACGACTTACATACGTATCGGTGTATTTAATTTAATTTTTTGCGTTCCACTTTTTCTTTTGTCGGCAGTTTTGCGTTCGTTTTTCTGAGAACAAGAATACAAGAAATTGAAATTTCTTTGCACATTTCTCTCGCATTTTATCGGAGAAAAGCTGAAAGAACACGTTTGACCGAGGGATCAATATAATAGAGAAATTTTATTTTATCAGGCAACGATAATTACGCAACAAACAGAATGCTTTTAAACGACTATAACGAGTATAATCGCGTCAATGGATGATATTTATGAATAGCCAGAAGAATGTTGAGAAAAAAATGTCGTGTCGTTTAGTAATAAATTGCATAATCGCGAACAGAACACCGCGGAACTTTTATGTTGCGCAGTTGAGTATTAAGTTATTGGACGGATTTTTTAATTAAATGTGTGCGCATTTACATAATTACATGTGTGTGTGTGTGTGCACGTAACATCGTTGCGACAAGGATTTCGCAAGCCGAAGTCGAAATCGACTATCGTAAATTTAATTAGATGCGACGCGCGCACGTCTGGAAGCTTTCGGTTAAAATTCTTGCGCGTACTTGCGCGTCGAATTACAAAAGAACAAAAGTTGATCGATCTAACTTGATTGTCGAGAGAAACTGGAGCACTTTAACCGTTATCACGTCGAGGATTATTACGCAATTAAATGTGATTTAAACCGATGGATTTTTGTCGATATTCGCATTCAATTTCTTTGTCGATTCGTGTTCAATTTTTGTCGCTTAGTGGAAAACGCAATTTCCGGAGAAAATCGCGAAGTTGGTAGCGAGCGTAAATCGCGTATAATGAAAATGCGAAGCCGATGATTTTCTCCTTTCGTGAGGCCGCGATTTCGCAAGTGATGCACGTTCGATCGCGCGGGACAGGAATCGATACCGCGGAGCGTATAATACACAATGCAACGTTGCATCTTGATTTCGCGAGACCGCTCGCGAGGAAATTAACTTGTTTAAAGTGAAAGGTTCGTGGCACATCCTGTATAGCGCGCGATGAATATCGTTTCCTCTCGCGTAACATTAGAGATACGTCCTGTTTAATTTGCATGTCTAAGAAGAAAAAAACGGAAAACATAGTTAAATGACGTTGAGAAAGGTGAGAAATAAGTGCTAACTTCTTTGAAACTTTAAAGAAGTCTAATCTAAACTGTAAACTCGCTCTAAACTAATAAAGCGATCGAACAAAACGATGTTTTTTTATCCGTAAACAAACTTCTCGCTGACTGAAAGTGTTTTTTTTTGTCTACCGACAAAGATAATCTCTCCCCAACCTTCGCACGTTGTTTTGTACATTAAAAAAAATAATTTTTTGCAATAACGGCAAAACAAAATAGGCGGAATCCGGTTTCTACGGGACGTTCCGAAAAATTTGTCGTAAAATCGTAAAACCAGTCTCTCGCCGCATATGTATATATATATATATATATATATATATGTACACGTTGCGTCTTTTAACGACGGATCTAATCTCAAGTTCCACTTTGAGCAGTTTCTTTCAACCATTAGCCCACATTCGGCGTTGTTCCCCGCAAGGAAAACATGACAATTCTCTGACGCGGTTGTGGCGGTGCATTTAGAAACCGCAAAATAACATCTCATGCGCCATTTTCTCACCGAATGAAACTGTTTGCCAACTAATTAAATTCGCACGCGCGTTTTTACGGTATTTCCAGCGGCATCGCTTTTCCAAAAATTACAATTGTCGTGAGAAAGAATATTTTTCAGAGATGATATTTTGAAAAATCCAAAAATGAAATTTGTTTCTTGTCAAATGTGTTAGATTTTCAATGTTTTTTTTCTTCTGTTACATATATCGCCACGGTTCTTTCCAAATAGAAAAACGTATTTGCACGATAAATCGACGATTGTCGGGACCATTCGTGGAAACAATTCTTCTTTCCTTCGTGGGAATTGCAACAATAATGTGAACGTTCCTCGCGGACAATAATAACGAAGGCGAAAAAGAGCGCTTGATCCAGTTTCTATTAAATACCGGCTAGGTATGCGAAAGAACGCGGGACGCAATGCGAGAAAGTTGGCGAAACTTAACAACGTTGCGGGAAAATTCGGGAACGCGATCGGAGAAATGTTGAACATTCGGAATTTCTCAGTGTGTATCATTTGTTTTCACTTTGTCGTCTCGTAAAACACACCGCCGCGTGTTGTTTGTAAGTTCAATTACATAAATCTCTAATGAGCTATCAACTCCGCTCGAAATTGTTCGAGAGATGACAGAAAAAAAAAAAAATGATCTTGTTCAACGCGTGTATTCTAGTATTTCTCTCGTAAACGTGTCGTTATGTTCTCCGAAAGGCGCGAGTTACGATGTATCTCTTTTCGTGGAAAGAAAAAAGAATTTTATACGAAAGAATACCTGCGGCAAGATAAATGTCCCAATGATCGGACCTCACCGACCGGACACTTATCAGAGAAATAAAAAATTCAAAGGAAAATAGTTGTTAGATAATAATAATAATAATTTAGGTAATAATAATAATAATAATTGTTGAGATGTAAATTTTAACCTTTCGTGGTCAGACCTCAAAAATGACAACGAGTCAGACCGGATCTGTGAGATCTTATACACGACTTTTAAGATCGAATATCTCCGCGAAAAATCTATATTTCTTTAATCGAAAATTTGAACACTTCTGCGTTGAGAAAAAAACAAATTGAAAAAATCTCTAGTAGTTTCGAAAACATGAGCGTTTAAAACAAACTAATTTTTTCTAGAAACGCCGATGCGCAATTTGAGTCTGGGAGACATGTCTGATTGCGAAGAGTCAAAAGGTGACAATTTTCAATTTTAGAAAGCCGACATTTATTTCTTTTGAAATTTTGAATTTTTTTAACGCAAAATTTATGCACCTATAGAACCTACATGTTGCGCAAAGTTTCTGGGTTTGTTGCTGGCCACCGCGACCTTCTAAAGGTAGACATAAAAAAAACCTACGAGAACTGTAGACTGGGTCTGTGAGACAACTTTAAGATCGAATATCTTCACGAAAAATCAATTATTTTTGTTCAATTATTTTCGAATCAAAAGTTTGAACAATTCTGTATTGACAGAAAAAAAAAACAGATTGAAAAAATCTCCAGTAGTTTTGAAGATATAAACGTTTAAAAAAAACTTACTTTTTCTAGAAACGGTCGATGCGCAATTTTTGAGTGGGTCTGGAAGACCCAGTTTACGAACAAAGAGTTAAATATTATTCCTAATTTCACATAATATAAAATATTTGCGGTTGTAATTATTTCTTTGAAAAATATCTACGGCCGTACTTTCCGATTATTGAAACACTTACTTTATTCTCTTGTCTCTCGGTCTTGAAAGACGACCTCAGTTGTTTAGCGATACGACAGAGTTATACGATAACCGACAATGATGTATGACGGCAAATTATCAGAGTAGTGTCATCGATGTAGTCAAGTGCCAACGTATATGAAAACTTTTTATTGTTGCTAGCAGATGGCAAGTTTATGTAACAATAATCTCTCGTTACGACATTAATGATTACATTGTCCTTCAGACAAATACGAATCGATGAACATGTCTCGTCTTGAAACAACAGAAGAGAAAGTCCCATTTGAGAATAAAACAGCAGAATAAAACTGCGTATACAATATATATATATATTCCGCAGAGATATTAATTCTTACGCTAATTAGAAAATTGTATATATTAATTCTCGGTTCGTTAATTCAAACTTTAACTACAAGTTTGAAACTTGATTGTCGCTTAATTTTCGCACTTCTAATTGCGGGTTACTCGCGACATTATTTGCTCTCGCAAATTGAAAGTCTTGTCAAACCGGCCGATTTCGAGAAAGACCTGTCGAGAAATTCCAACTTGTTCGAAAAAATTTTCTAAAATTTATTCGCGCGAAAGGCGGTGTGCGAAAAAAAAAATTTATTTTTGAACGCGCTCCCGTCGTGTTATATGCGCGCGTAAGAGAGCGGTGCTGCTCGTTGGCGACCCGAGTATAATTAATGACGACCGGTTACTGATCCTTGTTGTGCACTTGCCATTTGTAAATATAGGCGGGAATTTATATAATAGGTCCGCCTCATCCTCCGTATATGAAATATGCACGCGGAATTATGCAACTGATGATGTATTTCTAAAACGATGTTATCGAATATATAATTTGGGATGTACACGATTCTTGCGATAAAGCATTGTATGCGTTATTCTGTTATTAGAATAGCTTTTTTTTCTAAAAAAAAGTTTTTAAATTAACTTAAAAATAAAAAAATGTAATTATGCCGGAAGACTCGGCGTGAACAGGATATGTAATTTGCGAAATTTTGTTGAAAAATTGTGAGAAAAAAAAATTATTGAAATGGAAATGAGAATGAGAAAACAAGATTTCTTTTTCGGTACTGGCGAAAGTTGAAATGAAATTCAGTGAGACAATTAAGAGAATAAAATTGTTTCCTCGTGCAAATAATATTTTTTAACAACGCGTGCGTCTTCGTGTGTACGTGTCGTATGACGATACTGATTAGTCGTTACGAGCTACAGACCGTAAAATCGTTAAAGAATAAATTAACATGCCTAACGAACGTCAAGGAGAAATTGCGCGCTGTTGCAGGAAACGACTCCTAAAAATGAAAGTTTGATGTGATAAACAGAAAATTGCTATTAAAAAAAAAAAAATAAAAATACAAAGTTTAAAAATATTGAAACAAAAGTGATTTTTTGCAATATTTCTTCGTGTGTGTCAAATCAAATTCAAATTGCGAAAGACGTGACGCGATCGATTGTACAAAACTATATTAAAATAGGAATTTTCGATTTTCAATTAATAATTTTCACAAATTAACTGTGAAACTAAACTTTTTGAAAAAACGGAGTGAAATAAATGCGAGAATTAAAAAAAAAAAAAACGTTGATCCTCAAATTAATTTTGCTGTATCGTTTTGACGATTACATTTTGCAATTCGCATTGTTTAAGGAGCAGAGAAAAGAGACCGTCCAGAATGGGTCTTACGGTGACCGAAGATACTCCGGTGGACATGTTGGCCGGAAGTATGGAAATTCTCGTTCAAATGCCCCGTGATCACCATCTCCACACGCAGAGAGTTACAGTATCAAGGAGGTAACATTTGCTCGAAGGATATAAAAGCGCGACAACCAACACTTCTCCTTTCCCCCGTTTCCCTCTCCTCTCTAACTGGACTTTTTATTCGACAATTACATGTCTGATTGAACAAGCATCGCGAAAGACAATGGAAGACTCGGAATTTTTTTTTCTGGAAATTGTTTTACAAGAAATAGAATCACCTTGAAGATAGCGGACGCGAAATAAGAGAAGGTTCCGCGCGTAACACAATGAATCGGTGTACAAATCGATTACCGAACGAAAGTCCGGAATCCTATTACTGCAAAACGGCGGTCGGGTCGCGCGAGGTCAACTAAATCTACATCTCGGCAAATTATCTTAACGGTCGGGATTAGCCGAATTGGGTTAATTCGTTGATTCTTGAATGTGATTATGTCAATATATATATATATGTAAGTAATACCAGTAATCTCTCCAAATACCATTTCACACGGTAACGCGCATAAAGCTGGCCGAGTGAACGTGGTAATTAACATTCAGCAGCTCCAATTTCAAAATTATACTCGCTGCGCATCACGTCCACCTCAAGCAGGAGCACGCTTCCCTTTCTCTATCTCTCCTGGTGTTGCATCTTATTTGGTTAATTGCGAAGAAAACATTTTCGGTTTTGTAACGCGTGTTATTACGTAATCCGTTCTTATATACATTTCTCACACAAAGTTTACTTAGGCGTTAGAGAGAGAGAGAGAGAGAGAGAGAGGGGGGGGGAGACCGGAGCGATTTCAAACACTAAGAGAAAAAAACAACGTTTTTTAACTCAACGTGTTCGCAGCACGCCGATGATGGATCTTTTGGTGCAAATCGCGACGGCTCACAAATTGCCAGCTTCGAGTTACACGCTGCAAGCGATCGGCGAACGCGGCTTGATCCTGCCTCATCATCCGAACACTCCTATCGGGGCATTGGACGTTCTACAGGTAATTTTAATTTTACCGTTTTTAATTGTAATTCGGGTTATTCAAATCTTCTCTCGGAGTCGTCATCAATCACGCCGACTTTTCTGCGCGCGGTCCGTCGGTGGTCCGTTAATGATTCCGAACAAAACTTCCTACTGGCCGCGTGTCACATGAATTTCTGCAGCGACAACGCACTTTCTAACGACGAACGTCTTTGACGCTCGCTCGTTGCTTTGCGTGTTGGATTAACCCTTTCGCGTACACGTCCATTTCCTGCACCAATCGCGTTATGTACTTTCTCCGAGACACCGGAGTTTAATATTAATGCGATTCTTTGCGCGTGTGTCTTTGTGTGTGTGTGTGGTCTATGCGTTTCTCTTGTCGCATGGATTTAAGAAAAAAGAATGATTTTTAGTATGAAGCTTGTCACATTGTATCGTTTACGAGATACTTTTATCTGTACGTAATATCTACGTGTATTTCTCACATTCATATCTAAAATATATATATCAATAAAATCTATGAGGCGATTAGATTAATTCTGTTTTCTCTGTCTCGCGTGTTTCAGGTTAAATTACTTCCTAAACAGGGCACGTGTGTGCCGCGAAAAACGAAACAGTCTAATCAACCGTTTGAAACGACATTTAGATTGCAGGTAAAGTAGCGACAAATAAAATAAATGTCCCAATGATTGAACAATTTATATTAAATAAAATAATTATTAGCTATGTAAATATTTTAAACATGACAATTTATCATCTCACTGTTATTAGTATGTTTTTTAAATATATGTTTTGAAACATTAGTTTCTTTAACTTTTTACGTGATATAAATTACTTAATTACAATTAGTTTTTAAATAAATATTCCAGTTAGCACTCTTGTTCGATTACTGGAAAGTAATCGAAGTAAGTTATCTTAAGTGAAGCGCGCTGTTTTTATTTATTTATTTATTTTTTAAATAAAAATCTCATTTGGAATTAAATTGCCAACTTGTAACGACTATTCTATTTCTTGTGGTATAATGAACACTGCGAGAAATGAGTATAAAACGCAATTACCCGTAGTAACTTAGCAATTGATACACACAGGTGCATATGCCGAGAAATCAGCTTTACGTGTCGAGGGTCAGTCCAAAGATGAATCTTGGGAAAATTCTTGATGAAGTGTGTCGCGAGAAGAATCTCGATAGAAATAAGTACGAGCTGCGTCATCCAGGTATCTATACGTTTGCTTATGTCAAATTTATTAAGTTTATCATAGTTATTTATTTTACGATCTTTTTTTTGTTTTAAATAATTTTACACATACACGCGCAAACAATATTTGAAAAAACTTCTCAGAAAGACGTTACAGTCTGAAATTTATTTTGTCACTATTTTTATTTCACACTTATATATTTGTTTTATATAGTTTTATAAATATTTTATGTATAAAAAATTTATATATATATTTTACGTATAGTTTTTGTTTTGCGCTTTACAAACAATACTTACATCTTGTGGTATATCTTGTTTTGCGAACGCGCACCGTATTGGTAACACACAGGCCCTTATCTATATAATTAACCGCGAAGACTTATAATAAGATAGATAAGCGACAGAGTTTCTCAACTATCGATGATGTTTCAACTACGCCGAAGTTTTAAATTAGTGTCGCTTTGAAAAATAATAACACGGATAACGTGCTGTGCGACAAACCGATCACCGACTATTTGCTAATGATGAATGGTTTGCATATTACGAAATGATTTTCGTAACGACTTTCCGTTACGCATTCTCTCTCGCGGCTTACAATTCTTTACGGAATAAATAAATATTCAATGAATCGCAACGAGAGTTTCACGTAGAATAAATAGCTGCGATGCGCGCGCGCGCGCTGCGCTTTTTTATATACATCTAATTACTGAACTAAACACTCTCCGCTAATTAACGCTTATCTGACTAATTAAAATATGTAGAAAGAAGTATAATATAATTAATATAATTACGTTTTATATATATATATTTTTTTGTTCTGTTTGTAATACTCGTAGAAATTATATAAAAAAAATGCAATAATAGAAAGTAAAAACCGTTTTCTCGCAATGCGTGTGTTTGTGTGTGTGTGTGTGTGTTTGCAACGATTGATCCGGTACATGCGAATACGGGGCTTCGGAAGCCAGATGATTCGTTCGCATGTGTACCTAATAGAGACGCAATCCAATTTACCGAAAGTGCTTTCCGCATTGCGTGTGTTGATGAAAGTTTTCGTCCTATTTGCGCGTTCCCACTTAACTTGCGCGTACACATTCACGTATTTGTTAAGATTTTAAAGTAAATATTGTTCATGACAAAAAAAAAAAAAACAAAATTAAACTGAAGTAACACAACTTGGACGATAGAAATAAAACCGTCAAATTCTTTGGACAGATAATTTCGAACATTTTTTAAAGCAAATGCTTTGATTACTAATTAATATTTACATAACGTTCTCAAAGTGGCTTGTAATTTTTCTGATTTTATAAACGGAAACGGTTTCGATCTTCTATTAAAAAAAAGCAAACATATTTTTCTCATCGCGTTATATCCAATGAGACTCGTATCGAAATGCCTCGACCTAATAGCCCGAGGTGTTTTATACGCGTACCAGTGTTAATTGGATGGCAATTGAGAGTGTTGGCGATGTTCACTTTTTGACGGGTACACGGAGTATATATCGCGACGCGCATCCGTGCACGAGATATTTCAGTTAAGCTAGTTATATAGCGGTCAGCCCGGCTGAGAGATCGCTATCGCAAGGTTGCCGCCTGGCCTGCCGCGAGCACTTGTTACTTCTACTCGTTAGGATCTGCTCTCCCGTTCTCATCCTCGCTCTCGCGCGCGCGCTCCGCTCCGTCCTGTGGAAGAGCGAACGTTAAAACGGCCCGACACCCCGCGCTACCCGCTCGTGCTCGCTCTCGCATACGCTTTATAATTGATCCGCGTTGCACCGAGCTGCAACCGCGACGGGCGCCCGCGAGCGCGAGGGGAGCGGAGAACGCAATTCCAGTTCCCGCTCGCATACCTCCCGGTGCATTCACGTTCGCGCTGACGAGAGTCGTCCGGACGCCACGACGCGAGCCGATGCTCCCGCGGGCACGATAACCACGAGCGAGAGATATGTCTTAAACCGTGAGTGTTTCCTGCGATCTCTCTCTCTTTCTCTCTCTCTCACACACACACATCTGTCACTTTTTATGAAAAAACATTTTTTCTCTTATATCGCGCGTGTGTGTGAGATTGTAACTCGAAAGTACGCGGATTCTTCTTGCTTTGCGACTCGACGGTATCACGAAAAAACGGAATTTTTATTGAAGTTTTTACTGTAATGTTTTTTTTTTAATAAGAAAATAATTCAATTGCAAAAGATTTCGTTGTAGGGCGTATGCAGAAGAGTGAAACACTGTGTGTAGTCAGCATCGGAAAATTTTAGATATTTTTTTTATAAATAGTAATAAATATTTTTTTATAAAAAAATAAAACACAAGAAGCACTCCATTTTTTGATTCGGGTACTTTGATGTATCAAAGTATCCGAATTATGTACCGAAAGTCTTTTCAATCAATATCTTTTCATTTTTCATTTTGTCTAGCTAACTTGGAGGAGACGTTGGACTTGTCGCTGTCGCTGCAAGACTATCATTTGCAAGAAGTGACTCTGTACGCGAAGCAAACCGGGAATCTACGTCCGACGTTAAGCACGCAGGACATAATGGCGCTTCAGAGACAGGAGGAGCGGCACCGGCAGCAGACCAAGCAGAGCGTGTTCGGCTTCATGTTCAAAAAGTCAAAGGAGAGCTCATTGAGTACCGATAGTCTCGCGGGTCGGAGCGCGTCGCCGGCTAGAAGCGACGAGACCGCGAGAAGCGCCAGTCCTCTTCAACCGCCGGCACGACCTCAGAGGAAAAAGAGACCGGCCCCGAAACCGCCGATCGACGCTGTGCCCAGCGCTCAGGATGCGTCTTCTGGAAAAGACAGTGGCAAGGACAAAACGGTGATCAATCACAGTCGCAACAGCAGCGATAGTTCGGGATATCACGAGGCCTCCGTGCTCAGTGATAATCTAGCCGACTCGGCCGCGAGATTGCCGGAAACATTACCGAGGAGAAGCAAGGCGCCCGCGATGTCTGACGCTACCAGAAAATTGGCACAGACCTCGCAGTCCAGCAAGAGTCTGGGCAATCTGACGGCGACCGGCGCGACACTGAGCCGAGGAATCAGCAACACGTCGCTAAGTTCCACCGGTGAGACATTGTTTTCAATGAGATTTCATATTGTTATATATATACGTGCAAATAATCGAGTAGATTGTTGTTTTCTTTTTCTAAATAATATTATTCGCAACTAAGCAAAATTTTTTTCTTTCATGTTGTACACACGTGCGCAAGAGGCAAACGGTTTGTTTTTTTTTCACCGAACTAGTTGCACCAGTTCAGAGTTTATCTTTTTTGCTCTAAGCGCGCGCGCGGAAGAAAAACCATAAAACTCTGAACTAGTGTGACCAGTTCAGCGAAAAAGAACAAACCAATTGTTTTCAGTCGCGCAATATTTCAGTCAACGTGTTTGCGCAGGTCTTCGAAAGAAGAGAGCGGCTCCTCCCCCGCCGGCGCCCAGACCGCTTTCGTCAGCAATTTCCACTCAGGCTTTGGAACGCATTGTCGATTCCGAGGAGTCGCTAACGTCCGACATGGATCCTTCGAAACCGTCGTCGGACATTGGCGCGCCGTCGAAAGCTAATTCCGACATCGACTGTCCTAAGGCTAATTCCGATATCGGTGTCAGCACGCAAGCCATATGTCAATTAGATTGTAAACCAAAGCCGAGAGCTGCAACGCGTGAATCCGACGGCAATGTCGTCGGACAAAACAATGTCGCGACCAAGACAAACACCGAGGCGAGGTGTTCGAGATCAGACTCGGTCACCTCTGATCTTCCTAAAACAGACGCGGAAGCAATCCCGCCTGTAGAAGCCGCTCCGAGAGTAGAGCACGCTAGAGTAGCAGCGAAGAAAGGTAAGCTAGAACATAGCGCCAGTTTTTCCAACGCTTTGTTCCGTAGCTCCGGAACACGAGACCTTTCGAACAATTGTCGTCAAGTCGGTGAAGGAACAAACGCGAAAATTAAAACGTCTCGCGCCGCATTACATCCGGAAAATCATAATCTCTCGATGACGGAAAGATTCGAATCGCGCGCCGCAACTCGAACGTATCATTCGCAACACAATCGTTCTGTGAGCAAAAATTCGGCAAATAACATTTCGTTCGGTATCGCCGCCAAGAATCACATCGACGACGTAACGGGTTATCGGACATCTCGATTTTGTCTCGAGAAGTCTCGAGATTTCGCGAGCTCGCAACTGGAACGCGAAAATTGCGAAAAATCCGTCGCGTCGTTTTTTTCTAACGGCGATCGCGCAAATAAACAATCGACCGAAATGCAAACGTTAGCGAATCCGAAAGACGCGAAATCGAACAAGATCGTGAAAAATGTGGAACGCCGAGTATTGGAAAGCGAATATAATTCGAGAGTATCGCGCAGCGACGGCTACGTTTGTTCCGATAAATGTCGAAAAAGAGGTTTAACGCATAGCAAGAGCTTTCAGAGTAACGCGAGAAAAATCAAACCGACGAGTTCCGTCGAAGCGTCCGGTTTGATCGCGTCGCAAAGTTTTCGTTCGAACTATTCCAAAACCTCATTGAAATCGGCCATTCGTTCTTCGAAATCAGATAAAACGATCGAGTCCTCGATAATTTCCACCGAGGAACGTTGCAATTCGTCGAAGCCGTGCGCGGAGAACAATTTGTCCCCTCCGCCATTGAGCAGTTTGCACATATTCGCGATTTCCACGACACCGTTGGATATTCAAATGGCGCCGATGGATTCCACGTTGAGCGATATCGACGAGCTACCCTCGCTGCCAATTATAAATCATACCGAGAACAAATCGGACGAGAAAAAGTTGAGCATTTTGGAACCTCCGCCCCCTGGCCTGGTCAGTCGGCAAGAATCGAACGAAAGCTGGAATCGGTTTCTGAACCAACTGAATTCGATTCTCGAGACCAGAGCTGGCGAGTTTGTTTGAAAATTAACGTACAATGTTTTTTTTTTTTTTTTTTTTAATATAACGTTGTTTAAAACTTATTTAATAACTTATTTAATAAACAGTCTCCTTCACCGACTTGAACGAATGCTACATCCACGTTAGTTATCTGCGTTTTTTCAATGAGCTATTTTGCAAATTGTTTGAAAAGTTTTTTCTCGAAAAAATTCTGCATCCTTTGTATTTTTTATGCACATTAAAAAAAAAAAAAACTTGAGATCCACTTGGCTTCTGACAGTTACTGATTATAATAACGAATTTGAAAGGAAAGAATGCGAAAGACCTCTATTCGTGTTTCTTTTTTTGTATTTTATCAAACAATATACAGCACTTCCCGGCTAATAATCCGATATTTCGACCTTTCTCATTAAAAAAAAAAAAAAAAGGTTAATCATAAAAGTTCACCGTTTTGTGGCGTTTTGTTTGTTGTGTTACTTGTTTGTTTTTTTTCTCGTTCATTTTTATATTACAGTTGTTTCTTCGTCATTCGCGAAGTTAAGTTGAAAAATCAAACTTTGTCACACGCGCGTTTGCAAGTCTCTTTCGTTCTCTTTCTCTCTCTCTTTGTCGTTCGTGCAGTTTCGCGAAAAATAACGAACCGATTCCGAAGAAGGCGAACGATCTGAGCTTTGTTTTTTTTTTCAAAGCACATCCGATTTTTTGGTTTCACACCTGGGAAGTACTGTATTACACACATCTTTCGGAAGCAAAGCGAATCTCTGACGCACCTTGCATTTTAATATACGATAGAATATACGATATTATGCACCGAATAAGAATTTGTTTTGCACCACGGTTGGGATTTACATCTAGATGTACAGTACTACGTTTTTTTACATCTTCTCCACATAGTGCATATTCGAAAATCACAGTTCGCTTTATATATACATACATATATATATATATTTCGCTAGCTTGTATCTTCGGTGACGGTTGTGTGTTTTTTTTTCTTTCTTTATCCAAACTAGTTGGAGAACTTGCACCCCTTCCCTTGCCTCGCAAAGTTAATGTGGATAAGGTTAACGCCTCAGAACCCCCGAAGGCTCCCAAGCGTAAAGTAGCTCCGTCTTTGATACCGCCGAGAATCTTGAACACGGAAAGCGATAAAACGAACGATTTATCGTGTAACAACAACGACAAGATTTCTGAACACCGCGGCGCTTCGATTATTGCCGCTAATGCGGTATCGATGAACGAAGATCTTGTCGCGCGTATAAAAGAAAATAAGAAAAACAATCGCACGTCTTTCGGCGAAGACCAAACAACAATGAGCCAAGAAAAAGAAGAAACATCGAACATCGTTGAAAATAACAACACGACGCGCGAGGCGCGTTTGAGATCGATCGATCAAATTGGCGAAGTGGAGAGCGATTTGGAATTGTTACAGAATTACAACGCGACTTCTCGAGACTCAACTCGCGCCGATGCCGAAGAGATAGATTTTAAATCGCGAGACGAGATTTCGAATAAATTCACTCGAGAGAAGGAAATATCGGACGCTGTTGACGATCGCAAGAAGAATCACGAGGCGACGAATTCAAATTGCGAACGAGATATCGGATCGTGCTCGAATTCCGCGGAATTAAATGCGTCGTCAACGGAAGTACTTAACGTTACTCCCGAGATAAATTTCCAAAATATCGATTCGCTCGACGAATGTGAGAATCATTCGGATGACGCGCTCATTCCGTCGAGTATAAACGACAGTTGTAAGGAAAGTGTAACCAATGCGGAACGCGCGACCGAATTGAAGAAAAACGAAGAACAATCGAGTCCGGTTGAGCATCGGCGTGCTTGTCAGAGACCACCCAGAGCGCCGAGAAGAACGGCTACCGGTCGCAAGAAGATCGAAGAAAACGTCGAGACGATCAAATGCATTCGTCCGAGAGACGCGACGATAAAGACCGATCACGAGACAAACAGAGAACCGTGCACGGTAATTTCCACTATACCGAAGTGCGATTATCTCGATGCCGCGAAAGAAGACGATGTTTCCAATAATATCGCAAAACAACGCGACATTGTGGAAAATGTTGAGTTGCGCGCAAAAAAACATCAAACCGATCGGGACGAAGATTCGAGTCGCGACGCGAAGATCAATCACGTGAAACGGACGAAAGTGGCGCGAAGCCAGTCCAAGTCGGACGACTTCGAGACGGACTCGTCGACGAGACAGAAGCGTTATCTCACCTCGCCCTCGGAGAAGATCGCGCACGCATTGAATCTGCGCGTGCCCGCGCGCGATCCGATATCTTCGAACGCGACGGAAAAGGAACGGGAACAGGTTGCCGGGAGACAATATAATTCCGCTAATTGTAAAACGGCTTGTTCCACTACTGCGAGGGACGAGGATGTAGATAGGAAAGAGGCGGGCAGTGGAGTAATTACAGGTGCATGTCATTGTTCTCTACTAACATTCTTACTACTTAAAAAAAAACAAAACACTGCTTTATTATTCACCCGCAAAGTTTTATTTATTTAAAAACTTTCTTGTTTAGTTCGGGCAAGTTTGAACCTATGTGCAGGATGTTGTGCAAATAATTTTAAATCAATGTGATTAATCCAAACGTTTCGGTTTATTCTATTCAAACCATCTTCAGTGGAATACTGAAATTTACATTTGTTTACATTGGAAATATATTTTTATACAATTAAAATAGTTTTACAAAGAATTGCAAAGAGTNAATGTACCTTTATTTGAACAATTCCTCCTGAATTTTCATAGACGAAGTGTAAATTAAAATTAAAATTGTCGTTGTCAACAAGAAAGTTTTTAATTTCGTTAAGAACCCGAATAAAACAACATCACAGATTTTATTTATTTATTTATTTTTTTTTTTTTGAGTTTTGCGTGTTTTTCTTTTTTTTCTTCTGCGCACCATCTTGAACTCGCGCGTGTGTGTAAAGCGTGTGTATATTTTGTCGTTATCTTCGCCGTTTGTTATATCTATATGTTCAGACTAGACGACAGTTTGATGTTCTTTCCCCTTTTGCTTGTGAATATTTGCTATCTTTCTTTTATAACGTTTATAAAAAATAAACCTCTTTTGGATATATTTGACTTGTATGTTATAAGATTAATTTCAGATTCGCGTATATATTATTTATATTTGGATCGCGGTTTCGCGCAATTGTGCGTTTCGACGCAATTTAAAACGAGGCAATGTCTGTGACCGACTGTTTCATTCTGTTTTTTTTTTTTTTTCATGTATCTCAGCAACCGATTCGATTCAGAACATCCCGTCCGAAACCGAAATACTGCTGCAGAAGGTGTCGGACACGTTGTCGAATGTTCTGCCAGTTCGCCCGGCGGCGCCGGAAACATCCTCGCCTGTCGAGACGAGTAGTTACAAGAGCGCGTCTGTGCAAACGAGCGACGCCGTTATTCCCGAGCGTTCCGCGATCAAGACGGAACCCGTCGGAGTAAAGGACGAATCGAGCGACACGTACAGATCGTGCATCGAGTTTTCAATGGAGAACGCCACGTTGAACGCCAGCACGCCAAATATGACCGCGACTGACTCGCAACAAGACACCTCCGATTACGTGTCGGCGATGGGCGAGGATCTGTCGATCAGCGACTGGGAATATCAGCTTCCCGCGCCGCCGAGCGCTTTCCGCGATTCGCATTCGCCCGTCATCTTCGACGATTACGATACGCAGAAGTCGGTGAAGGCTTTTGGCGAAGAAAAGCCGGTTGCGAGTCCGGCTTCGAAACCGGTCGACGCGACCGATAGCAGCGATAAGAACGTCAAATCGACGACGAAAGTAACGAGAGCTGCTTTAAGCGAAAAGATAAATTCAACGAACGAAGCGGAAATTGAACAGTCGGCGAACAAACAGTCTGTCGTTGGCAAGCAAACGTGCTGCGCGGTTTCTCACAAATCGACAGTTAAGTCTGATTTACGGAAGGACGTTATTTCGGAATTGGAAAACAAAATAGAACACGGCGCGTTGGCGCAAACTGTTGTCGCGAAGGATTTCGATCGTAGATGTAACTTCGCCGCGCCAAAAATAGCACCCGTGGACAATACTCTGTCCAACTTTACCATTACCACTTACACCAAGGAGAAGAGTCTGGACATTTTCGAGGAGGAGTCCAATGCGAGAAACTCGGACGAGAGATTTCTCAAAACGTTCGCCACATTGTCGAGAAGCAACGACAGTCGCGATAAGGAAAACGCGACGAGAACAACGGCTTATCTAACTAACGGTATATCGTTCGACAAGAAGACTGCGATCAAGTCGGACGAAGAATTATTCAATAACTGCAAAACGGAACCAAAGACTCGTCATCAGAACGCGGAGCACAGATGGCAGTTGTATAACGCGTCAAACGAGAAAACGAATATCCAACGATCCAAAAGTTACATATCGATGTCCAATAACTCAAGATATCAAGCGGAAGTGCAAGAGATCGAGAGAAAGCCGCGGATTGAGATTGACGATATGAAGAAAGCCACAAGCATCACCGATTTGAACGTCGACGCGTCGAGAAATTCGCGCGATGAGAAATTCTCGCAATATAGAAACGACATATTGAGGCAGGAAGAACCTACCAAAGAAAAACAATTGCAATCGTTACAGGTAATTCAGAATTTTGTCTATACAGGGTGTCTCATAATGACCGTATCACCGCTCGTAGGCAGGTAGAAGGGATTATTCTGAGTCGAAAAGTCTTGAACCATTTTTTTCTATTACATATAATATATATATATATATATATATATATATAATAAAGGAGTAATTATTGAATAAATTAAGCCAATCAGCGCCGACCTTTAGCCAGGCGCACGTCAGTGAGTCGCGCGAAGCGCTCACGCATATCAGGCGCGTGGTTCACTGACGTGCGTTCGGCTAAAGGTCGGCGCTGATTGGCTTACTTTATTCAATAATTACTCCTTTATCATACGTAATAGAAAAAAATGGTTCAGGACTTTTCGACTCAGAATAATCCCTTCTACCTGTCTACGAGCGGTGATACGGTCATTATGAGACACCCTGTATATACAAATATACTAATACTTACTTGTAGCATAGCTGATTATCTTTTTTGTTTATGATGTTTTTGAAATTGTCGATTTAATGATTTTAATTTTGCGTTTGACACATTTGATAAAATGTATTTTTATTTCAATACGTAGGTGCTAAAGAGCATTTTGCCGCAGTTGAAAAACGCTCAACAGTCGGAAGAAAATACGTCCAAAGAATACGGTAACGCGTTATCAAACGAAAAAACAAGGTGAGTGTTTTTAAAATATATTTTGAGAGATCTCGGACATTGTCTTACGTCCGTTTTCATCATCTCCGATTAAATTAATCGACCGATTATTCCATTGGAATTGCCAGTCGCATTATTAATCGTTTAGCAGAACGGATCAATCACGATTGATACTTAATCGCCGATGAAGTTAATCGGAAATGGTAAAAACGGGCGTTAGTTTAAAATTATTGTTTTGTTTCCTTTCCGTTGCTTGATTGTTTTATGAGATCTTGTCTTATATTTGAAAACTATCTGTGTAGTTTTACATAATTTTTCAATAATATAAACCCAATTATTTTCAATAATATACTTTTTAGATACGAGTCTAACGAACATTCGAACAGATCGAGTGTATCCTCGACATACGAATCTCGCGATGGGGAATCGGAATATAAAGAATTGCCGAGAAAGGAAAATGCGAAACGTTATACTTACACCGGTCCGCCTGCGATCAGTTTGGGAAGCTGGTCGGAAAGACCCAGCGTCAACGTTCAGATCAAAATGGACACTGATTACAAACTAGGAAGCAACAATGCGAGGACGGTTGTTAATATTACCGATTCGAAGAACAGAGATGACGTTACGAATTACGTCAGCGGGAATAAGTCTTCGACGAATAAAAAACTGGACGAGCCCGTGAAGAATTTGGTTGCGCACACTACGTCAAATTTTCAGATACCGTTGTCGAATCGCGTTGATGCGTCGAAAATCGAAGACAGACCGGTCGTGATGGGAGTCGAGCTGAAGAAGACCTCGATCGAGACAAATTATCCGAGGGAAACGTCGAGAACCAGTGAGAATGAAATCGACGCGACGTTAAATTTCCAAGAACTAAAGAAAACGTTCGGTCAACAGGTTAATTTGAGACAAAAACCTAAACGCGTCAATATTAACAGACAGTCAGCGGATTATCATCATGACGTGCAATCAGATGGAATGGAAAAAATTGCTGATTCGAAGCAAAACGGTTACGCTAAATTTGCGAGGTCGTACGAACAAAATGACGTTTCGTTTAAGAGTCAATCCCTGCCGCATGGGATTCAGCAGAATTCACGGACAAAAAAATTCATATCTGTCAAAGATATCAACGGAACAAGCCAGAATATCGGTTTCCACAATGAAACGTCTTTTAGGTATAATGTCAACAACGGTGTGAAAATTAATCCACCGATGCCCGTTGTCAAAGGATTCAAGATACCCACCGTTGATTCCAAAACGAACAACAATCAAGTAAATTACAATCACAACAGAACATCGACAATTGACAGTGCCAGCAGAAACGTACAGATTCCCAAGCCTGTAACCGCACCAGTAATAACGGGAGTCACATTGAAGAGTGTCAATGCGAGACCCAATTCAATGCCAGTCCAATTAGATTCTAGAGATATGCTGTTAGAGTCCATCCGCAATTTCGGCGGACGTGAAAAATTAAAAAGTGTAAGTATATTGCGATACAAAATTTCACGTAGAACAACAGAAGGATTTATATAGAGAGAAATTTAAGTTATTTTTTAAATTACTTTCTGATAACTAATATGTAACATTTAAATTTTTCTGTTTTAGACCGCTGAACGTTACTAATTGCGCACAGCTACGGTGAAAACATAAATTTGAAACTTAACAAAAGAGTTTTTGGAGCAAAAGTAACATCAAGATTTTCGAATTTCCTTTTCTCATTTTTTTTCTCATTAATAGATTAAAATTTAGATTATTTTTTTGTGTTATTTTGTTTTTAAATAATGAAAGTTACGTACACTATGTTTACAAAAAAATGTATGTGCAAATAGTTTTGAGAAGAAAACACTTTGTGTTTGTCAGAAGTTAAATCCTTAGAATAATTTTGAAGAAGAAACGCGCTTTTATTTACAGATAAAATCTGCATTAAGAAAGATTTGTGATGTTTTCGCTATTTTTTATTTCTGTATAAAAACCACAATTACAAAATATTAATAGTCGACATTGTAAATCGCGTTCGAAATTTGTGTTATCTCAGCGTACATGTACTATTCTATCCGCGGATGTATAATCGTTTAAAAAAAACAACTCCAATCGAATATCTGATCGCTGGATTAACACGTTGATACGCCGCGTGTATATAATGTACACATAATATAAATGTACACAGAAAAATAAGTGCAACAAGTGAAACATTGTTGCAAAATGATGGAAAATGTACATAGTATTCGACATTTGTTTCATCGCAGAAAAAGACACAGGAAATGTTAATTTTATTTACTTGAATATAGTCATCAACTTGATATTGCTCATTATAATAATTAACGTGTGCGTGTATGTGTTTGTGTTTATGTGTGAAAGAGAGAGAGAAAAATTGTGTGAATGTGTGTTCCGAGAGAAATTAAATTATATTCTTTAATTCGAGATAGGACCGTCCGATTCTAGCTTTGGTGCGGCGATTGTGCGTTGATGATAACAAAAAAAAAGGAAAAAAAAAAGAAATATAAATACCAAAGTTAGTCGTGAACGGATCAACACTAGTACTAATAGCGACTTGAGTATACTAACACGTTCTAATTTTTCGCTATAAGTTTCTATCAACGGGACCAAAGGTGATATCATATTTTACGTATCGTACAACGAATTTAGGGTTGTAGAACGTTACTGCGCTAAACATGAGATAGTCCTAAATCTGGTCAATTGAGTTAACGATTGGACATGATATAGATTTATTTATACTTACATAAGAAAAAAAGCGAGAGAGAAAGAGATGGTTAGTTTTAACATGTTGAGTTAATCGTCGCTTTTCCTATCACATGGACATTGTATGAAACAATTGTATTGTAGCAAATATGTTCAAATATAAATTAATTTTTCGTTGGCATTACAGATCTTGCGAAACGCATTTCGTTATGTTTCGGATTCTTTCCTTGCGGCATAATTGTATTTTTTTTCTCCAGGAGGAAACTAAAACGTATGCAGTTAATCTTTTTATTAATAGAAACGCTTATATATAAAGAACTGTAATTTTTATTTATTTTCCTCTAAAAAAAACATTGTTTAAAACATTGGTATAAAGTATATACCAGTATTTTTTCTGAAGTGAGAACAATTAAATTGTCCCTCAAAGAGCTTCAGATCACAGATGTGTGTGCGTGCGCGTATTAAAGAGTCATACACACAACAAATCTACATGTGTTCACTATGTATAAATCTTATTGTGCTATCAATTAATTACTAACTTGTGAGTTTACTCATTTCAGTTTGCAATTATTATAAATAATTTCTTTTTTATATATATATAATGCACATCTGTTACATACGTACGTTAAATATCACCATCTTCATAAAACATTTATACGTAATGGTAATCATAACGTATACACATAAATGTCAATGTCAATAGCACCTGTGTTTTTTCGACATTAATATGTTCCGCGTCAAATCTTTTTTTTTTTTAGCAACTATGCTAAAATATATGCAAAGTAATTAATTAAATCTACAAAAAATCTACTAATTCGTAATTAAACTACTTGATAAATCCCATTAATATATATATACATACATGTATAAAATTATATATTGCCACTGGAGAAAAAACGTGAAAAACAAAAAAGTGCAACGAGAAACTACTGCTTCACAGAAAGCACGATAGATCTTGAAAATATTATCGAGCATTATTGCACGGACTCTTTCATATATGCATATACTTACATTGTAATTAATACTGTTTTAAAATTGCGCAAAATACATATTGACACATTCTTTTTGTTATTGATACAATTTGCTCAAGAATCTTCTGCCGATAAGTAAATGTAAAAACTTAATTCAAAAGAATAGAAAGATAGAAAACGGATTATACACTTTTTCCTCCTTTTTACTTATTGTGTTTAACACTTAATCTACGGACCGGTTGTGCGCGCGCCTTTTGCGTAACGCGGGCAGTTTTTTTCGCGTGCAAGAAGAAAGTTAATAGTTTTAACTAAAACATTTATAAAATTATTTAAATTTTCAACACGGATCGCAGAGAACAGACAATTCCGTGATTCGCAGATTAAGTGTTCACATACGAACGTTATTAGAAAATGTAAATTTATTACTTAACATAAAATAAACGAATCTAATCTTGCTTACAAAATTTTCTAACCATTTTCGCTAAAAATCTTGTTTCGAAATTCTTTGTCTCTAGATTCATACTTTAGCACCATTTTTCTTTAAATCTACAAAATTGGAAGAGCATTTTCTTGTACTTTACGAGTTATCGCACGTACCATAAAAATTGTTTAATCATCAGGTATAGGAGTATTGCAATTTCCGTGCCACAGTTTGGTCTCTGAATTACACTCCGAGTAATTAGCAAAAATATCCGCATAACCACGATCGCGCCACCAAGTGCAAAGTTGTCTATTCCAGCCACAATCAATTGTATGAATAAGTTCCGGCTTTTCCATACCTAGAAGCGTGTAAAAATCCTGATCACCCAAGTGGCCCTGTAACAATTTATCACTTTTAAATAACGCGTCTCAACATTTCTCTTGTTTTTTTTTTTTAAGAAAACACTGAATAGAAAATAACTAGAAACTAAAATTATGCGACTTAAGAGAAAAGAGGAGGATCATCATTATATCAATAAACATGCCTTGAAGTTATATTTTTTCGTCATTGCATCCACACTTTTCTTACTGACGGTCTCATTGTATATGCGTGAGTTTCGCAATCTCTCCAAATTAAAAAGCACCATTCCACTATTGTAGCCGGGATATCCGCCTTTGTGACGAGGCTCACCGAACATTGTTGTTGGATGTTTGCTGCGATATAAGTACAAGACGTGTCGATAAACCGGAGTGAGTTCCGAAGCCAAACCAAACAGAGCTTCCTTCCCGAAGTTGTGAAACTCTTGAAACAAGTCTTTAACGTCTCGACGAAATTTCGTGTCCGCATCAAACATGGCAGCAAATTTCTGATGAGTGGGCGCAATTCTGTGCAAACCCAGTGAAAGAAAGAACAACGCGTCGGAGTAATAAGTTCCCGGTTTGCTGCTGAAGTGTGGTGACATAACTGATATTATGTCCTCCAGTTGTACAGCCAGTTTATGTACATCATAATAAACTATCTGAACACAAGTGAAAAACAAGAAAGAATATCTATTACAAAAAATATTCATGTAACTATATAGAAAAAAAAAAAAAAAAAAAAANAAAACCAAATCACACATATACCTTCATAAACTTTCCCGTATTAACCATAACATGTTGGATAACAGCCTGTGCTATATGCCGACTGTCGTTATCACTTATTACATGAAAGACAATATCTATAGTGGTCGATTTGAGTAAGGAGTCTACAAATATTTGAAATTTGCGCTTCATGGGTGAGTTTAATGTGACTTTGGTGAAAATGCACCAGATATTGTAATCGCTCGTCTCATTGTGTAGCAAAGTGCTCACAGTAGTCGAGGACGTATAATTGACCTCGGTGGAATACTTGGCTGATGTTAGGGCGGTTGTAAGATTAACCGGACCTGCATTTTGCGCTCGCAGATTATTGGATACGATGCCTCCGCCATTGGACGTCTGATAGCAGTAGAGAATTACCAAGAGCAGAGCTAGAATTGTCAGCTTCAACAACACCTTGCGTAACAAGGGCATTTAAACCCGTGTCTTTTAATTTTCTAACCTAAAACACAACAAATCTGATGATAATACGTAGAAACAAAAAACGGGACTCTTGTGAAGTACAATCAAAGATATTTGAACTGTAGTGCTTTACGGATTTTATATTTTTTACCATTTGTTTATTTACTTATTTGATGAAAAAGAAACAAATTTATTTCACTCACATGAACACATGATCAGCAGCTGTTTTCGTTACCGCGTCATTATATCACCTGATTCGCGTGTCTCGTTGAACAATATAACGTAACACAAGGCAAAATGTTGCGAATCATTATTTTTTCAAAAATCTCACAACAAGAACAGTGGCACGACGCCACTGTCATGGTCGATTTCAGTCTTGAGTTTCGATGATTCTTTTATATATGGGAAGCGCATTTGTCAGCTTTTCAACATGTATGTCGCAAATTCGGCTTCTGGAGCTTCGCATTTTTACCGAACGAGGTCTCAACAGGATCAATTCGAAACTGCGATTCGGATTGCCCTTGTGTGAGGGTGGGGGGCTGCATTTTTCTCTTATGACGAAACTTGCAAAAATATGTTACTTATAAATTTGCGAATATACGGATATGTGTAGATACACTTCGAGTATCTATTTCCGCTACTTTTGACGAATTTTATTAAGAAAAGTCGAATGTATGTGTATTTAAAATTGTTTTATATCTTATCGTGTGATTGCGTCACTGATGGCTGCGAGATAAAGTAACCGAAATATATTTATTATCAGTTTCGAATCGCACGTTGAAAGTGATAGTACATAAAATATGTTTATCGGATTTTTTTTTTCACATAATATCGTATAAATAATCCATGAAAAAAATTCTGTGAATAATCCGTTATACTTTGCGTAATGTGTGTGAAAAAACTTTTTTTTCAACATATCAGCGCGTTTTATTTTATCGCTCGCTATATGTGTAATTAAAGCGACAACTTGTGTGACACGTGGAATTCTTGAAACTAAAAATTGTGCGCGAAATTTTATATTATACACGTCAAACACACAGACGTTGCACGTTATGTGTCTGATTAATCGATGAAAAATATGTTATTTGAAATATAAATTGCAACACGAAAGCGATATTTTATCGACACCGAACAAATGCAAGTGCTTTTAATGTTTTATAAAATTTAATCGCGCGTTTCGAAAATCGCGCGATACGAAAAAGTCGAAGAGAACGAAGAGAAGAAAAACGAAAAATTATATAATTTCAAACGACATACTGTCGCACATAACACTTGGAAAACAACAAAGGCGAGAGATGCAAAAAAAATCGAAGATTCTGCGGTCCGCCTCTATTGGCAGAAAATCGACAGAAGCGAGACCTTCCACGTCGAAAGAAAAACACACAAATCGCCGCAAGTATGCAGCAAATAATTTTATTCTACCGCATACGTACCGCTACGTACATATATATATCATTATGTCAAATATTTTATATAATATATTACAATGTTGCTCCAATTAGTTTTTTATTGGACAATTTACTTTCTAACAGGACAATTTCGTTTGGCGCTATTTATGGATCGCGATGTGTAGCGTGCAAGAGCGAGGTGCAATCGCCCAAAATGATGAGATGTCGTCATGTATTTTGTCTACAATGTTTTTCAAATCGACTTATAATATCACATAAACAAGGTACGGTAGAAAAAAAGAGAGAGAGAGAGAGATATCCGTGCTGTTTTTCTACAAAGTAAAAGTTCATATAAATCTAAGTCGTATAATTTCTAAACAACGTTGATAAAGTTTATTTAGAATTGTTTATTTAGAATGTTATCAATAATGATGTATATTTTGGAAAATTTAGAATTGTCAACGCGATATTTGGATTATTTCTCGTTTGTGAGTTTGAATTTTGTCACGAGTTATTATGCGACAATTGCTGTGGTGGTTTTGTTTTAGAGGGCGGTCGGACGTGTCCGATCTGCAATATAGCGGTAATAAACGACGCAGCAAATACAAAGAGCGCAGTCAGCTTCGCGCCTTTACCAACAAAAATACGAAATGAAAATTGCCGTATTTGCGGCGAGACTTGCGTGACCAAATGCAAACATTGTAAACGCGTGAGTAATGCAGCAAGCAGTATTTATTAAGATATTTGTGAAGTAAAAAAAAAAAACGGAATAATATATAAAAAGCTATTAGAGAATTAACACGTTAATATTCTCACAGAGATTTTGTGATGATTGCTGGACAAATCATGTTAATGACTTGAAAGACGAGATAGCGAATATAAGCGAAAATCTTGAGACATCAGCGATCAAATTCGAAGACAAAATAAACAATTTTCGAGTAAGAATTCAATATTATTGCAAATACCGTTTAAAACATATTGAAAATTCTTCGTGCAAAGCGTTAATTACAAAACTTTCTAAACACAATGAACTTGATTTCTTACCAGGATAAAGCGAATAAGATGAAAGAGTTCATCGACAGGGACATCGAGGCCAAAATAGCGGCACTTGAAAAAAAACGACAGGATCGAATGATAAGGGTAGAAAATATCATTGTCGCGGGCGAAACACCGGTGAACGATATTAAACAAAGAATGAGTAAAACTCAAGCGGAATTGAAAGAACAGCGGGAAGTCACGTACGATTTATTATCCGATAATGAGAAAAAGGTATGATCGTTTTTATTTAATTCCATTTCTATTGAGTAAAGAATAAAAATTTTTCCTAGAAATTTATCCCAAGTTGCAAGACAGAGACCGAGAGAAATTATCGCATTACTGTTAAAATATGGTTTATTCCTGAGAGAGCCGCTCTCTCTCTCTCTCTCTCTCTCTCACTCTCCCTCTCTGTCTCTCTCTCTCTTTCTCTCTCGATGAAATAAACTGAAATTTTTACCGTCCTCTCTTGATGTTATTCCTCCCGTTCTCCCGGCTCTAAAATCTGGACCAGCGCCGTACCTGTCCTGTGCAGGATGCCTCACAGTATTGATTACTTGAGAAGAGGAAGCACACGGAGAGGAGAGGGAGGGAAGGGAGTGGATAGCGAACATGTGGGGCTGGCCGAGGCGAGAAAATCGGTGGCGAGAGATCTCCGGCCAGAATTTTCATTATTTTTTTTGCGAAGTGTCAGTAAGATAAATGAAATGACGAAATCGAGAACGCTATCGATAAAGCGAGAGAACATTTGTAATAATGCGTTCAAAAACTTGCGAAGAAAATTTCAAGTATCAAGAAAACATGACGTTGTATGAAATTGTTGTTGCGACTTGCGAGAAACTTTGACAGTAAAATATCAGCGCGCAAGCCGCGAGAGAGATCTCGAATTAGCCAAATTAGATTGCGAAACATTACGGAAAACTTACCGGTTTTTCTGATTTGAAATGTCAAGAAGTCGCATTCACGCGTAGACGCGGGATCATGCGGGCGTTAAATCGAGTAAAAAAACCGGTGGCCACGACGAGAAATAAGCCGCAAAAAATGAGAGAAAAAGAGAGAGAGAGAGAGAGAGAAAGGGAGAGAGAGTGATGCGATGGGTGCAGGTTCGGGGCGGATTCGCGAACCGATAGGACCTAACCCGGGATAGCAGGAGGATAATGGTGTTGGTGTACAAGGCACAAGCAGCCAACGTCTGTTCCTGACAGCCCATTACCACTGTACAAACGCGAGCACAGCGGTCTGGTACGATGGCGAAAGCTCTTCTGAATCTCGTCTCTTTCTCCGCAACGTGGCTTTCCTCCTCCTCTTCCTCCTCCTCCTCTTTCTCTTCCTGCTTCTCCCCCTTCGACCCCTTTGCGCTCTGTCTCTCCTCGCTATATTCGTCTCTCTCTCTCTCTCTCTCTCTCTCCCTTCCGCCATTATCAAGGCATCGAAGATCTCCAACCCCGCGGGAGGAAGTAAACCGGATAATGAGATACACTCGTGGCTCGGTCGCCATTCTATCGTTCTGTAGAGAAACAAATATGCAAAATTTTCGCAGTTCTATCTTTCCTTTATCAATTTTCTTAAAAAAAACCCAGAAACAAATTAATTTATCGAATTAATTTTTTTTCTACGTTGCAAGTTTTCTGACAGAAATTGTATTATAAATTGTATTAAAAATTTTGCTCTTTACGATCTTTATTTATAAAGTTTACAAAGTTCGGTTAAATATCTTTAAATAAAAAACTTAAAGAGACTTAAAAGATGATCTACAATTTACGTAGGGAAAAAACTATTTTAACAAAACTTTTCAAATACATCTTACGGGTAGGTAATCGATCAATTGATGTTTTTGACCGACATTAAAAACATGTTTTTATATTTCCAAGCGTGCGAACTGAAAAAAAAAAAAACAAAAATCTATTCTGCCATCTCTCTCCCAGCGTGCCGCGTAACATTTATTAATAACTCGTTTTATATCGCTCTTGCGGCGGATACAGAAAGCGTGTCCTGAAAAATGTTATTTTGTTCGACACGCGAACAAATCGATCGCGATTCGATTCGGCTCTTCATGTCGGTGAAGAATATCGAAACGAAAATGCTTTCAGTGCGCTCTTCAAGGCGTTCGGGCAATAAAAAAAAAAAAAAGCAGATTTCGCAGCTCATACACTCGCATAGGATCAAATCCTGAATCAATTCGCTGTATGTTCGGCTTGATCTTCTCTCTCTTTCTTTCTTTCTCTCATTTTCCCTTCGTCTCTTCCTCTCTCTCTCTTGCGGGGGTTGGTTCGTGGCCACGCCCGACACCCTCGCCAAGCCACGCCCGCCGACGAGCCCACATGCATATATATACACACAGAGAAAAACACACGCGCGCACACATAGATACATAGCCCCAAGGCTCTGGTAGGGCCCAAGGGCTAATAATTCACGTCACGAGCACACCCTACCATAAAGAGTCAGCTACAGGCACTGGCGGACATATATTCCGCAGCGGCGGCATAAACGCTATCCAGTTGCAGTTACTGTTAATTACCGATCATCTTTTATAATTTATTGCCGCGCCTGCTTTAGCGCGAATTCGCCCGAACGCACGCGGAAAATCCGTCGGATGACTGACTGGCCTGACAATTATGTAACGCACCGTCGGATCATTCGCTCCGAAATCATTCGGTCGTCAATATTGTCGTTGCATAACGTTTGTCAATCAATCGACGATTCAGTAACTGATCCGATTGCGAATTCACCTCAACTGCCATATGTGTAGTTTTTGCGTTATTAAAAAAAAAAAAAACTCAATTTCAAAGTGTGGTTTTTTTAAAACGAAATTAATAAAAATTATCAGAGATAAAAACGGGGAAAAAATTGAAAAGAACTTCGAAAGAAAGTTGATCACAAAGCGAGTTAATTGAATTTTACATGTCAATTGTCGTACGCGCGCGCAAAAAAAAAAAAAAATAAATGTCGACGTTTCTCGCGATCTGTGAGATTTTTCTCGAGATAAGATATGGAAAATCGGCGATAATCATTTAAAATCAGTTTATACATCAAGAACATACACGTATTTTCCCTCTCACCTACTCACTCGAGGGACGACGCAAAACAACCGAGATATGGTTCTGAATTGCCGGTGGCTAGTAGTTGGCCCCTGAAATTAGCCACAGTGACATATTGAAGAGCGGTACAGCGTCCGAATCCCCCAAGACACGCGAGAGATCGGAGTTCCCTTTTCCGTTCTGCCCCCGTTACTCCCCCTCGAGAACGACACAAAGCCGCCGGTCTGGGAAAATCAACTGACGCGTAACTAAACGGTGTATCATTAATTCCGACGTGTATGTTTATATCGTGCTGGTTAAAGAGCGCGCGTAACACACGTAACCTCTGTGTGATTGGGGGGAACCTTCCCCCCCCCTTACCCTGAATTTTTAGACTGGCTTATTTGCGCGCGGAGTCAACTCGAGCGCGACGGCGAAAATTAACCGCGCACAAGTTATCAATTTGAAATAAAGAATTTTTTAATGAAGATTCGCAAGTACTACCAAGCCATATAAAGACGCATGATATTGCACATATTCAGGAGAGTAATAATTTATTTACTTAATTAGAGACTGAACAACAATTAACGACCTTTGCTTTGAAATTCTCTTCGGTAAAATGTCGTTTGTTAATTACGACTTGGTCTTTTATTAACAAACAAATTATTACGCTTGCAACATCTTACGTTAAAAAAAAAGCTTTTCACTTATTTATCTAATTAATAATGTTCGCGCCCGCGTCTGACACTTTCATTAGCTACTAATTATCTCTTATAGAGTTTTCAATCGATCGCGCGTCATCCGAACATAAATGTCCAAGAAAATCGCGTTGTTGTTCTTCGCTCATTATTCTTTCGTCGATCGCTCTCTTCGTGTTTCATCGAGATCGGACGCAGTTCGGTGGTTCTCATATCGCCGCGCTTGCGAGGAAATGTTTTGAATCGTCCAACGGAGAGATGTCGATTCTTGGGTGACCAGTTTATCGGCACGCGTTCTCTTTTCTCTCTCTCTCTCCTCTTCTTTTCTCTGTTCGTCTGATTGGCGTGAAACGTATCGGCGTACCTAAGTGTCGCGAAAAAACGACAACAGAGTTGCGCTTTGTCGCTTCGTTTTTTGAAGTCGAACGTTGAAATGCGCTCTAAATAAACGATTCGACGAGAAACGCATAGAGAGAATATAAATATGACACAAGAATAAATATAAATTTACATCGTCTGGAAAAAAAAAAAAAAAAAAAAAAAACAAGAACTTATCTCGAGAAGTAGCGAAACTCTGTATTTTTAAGTAGTTAAAAAAACTAAAACAACAAAACGATTACTGCGAATTAACATCTGTGGTTCTAAAGCAAAACCGAAAGAGCGTGACAGAGAATGACATTTTATTCGTTTGCGCGCATTTTCCTGTAAGTAATTTTGATTCGAAAATACGAGAAACGCGATTCCAAAAAATTCCTCGTCAGATTACGGTATTGGCACAAATCGCCGCAGCAACATCATCGGTCCGTCCGTCGGCGCAAACAGGCTTTAGACCGCCAAGCCTATTTAGTACACGTGTCCTCGCACGTTGAATCGCGGTGATCCTCCTATTCGCGATGATCAAACGGTCAGGACGGAAAGTACAGGAGAGAGAAGGGCCCCCGGAATCGGCACAAAGGGCTCGCACGCTTCGACACGTGACTGCACGAACGAGGAGGGGGAGGGTGCCGACTTCGGGGGTATCGTAAGTGCCAGAAAGCGACGAAGCTTCACCGCTCTCTCCTTTCTTTTTTTTTTTTCGTTTCTCTTTATGTCCGGCGATTGGCCGCAATTTAGCGACGCGTCGTTGCACATCGCGCGGAATTTGCGGCGGAGAAACGTGTCAACCGCATTGCTCCGCATATTATTTCAATTTCGCTTGACGAGATTTCATCAACGAGATAAATAACATTGAAAAAAAATCTTGATTTAATTGGTCCTCGCGTTTTTCATTGATCGCGCATTTCTTTAACGCGCTGATGAGAATTTAAATAATAATCGCGTTTGTTTAAGGTGAAAACGTTTCTGGATCTGCAGCAAAAAGTCGCGGAAGTGATAGCGGCTATCTCGATTTGGGAGTTGGAACTGAGCGACGTAGAAAGAGGACTCGGGAAAATTAACGTGCGCGCGAAATCATCTAACAAGGAGAACGTTGGATTTTTGTACAAGTAAGTACATCATACATAGACGACATATAAAACGACGAGTTGATTTTGCGTTGTTTCGTACGAAGAAAAAACTTGATGCGACAGGCGAAGAACCTTCACACCGAAAATTGTCATGAACTATAACACGGTACAACGGCCGTCCGCGTTAGCTATTGACTGTTGGAGAGATAATATTATCGTGACCTGTCCAGGCTCCGGACAAATTGTCATTTTCGACAGGAAGTTCAAAGTTGTGCGAAGGATTCGCCACCAAGAGATGATGGCGCCTCAAGGAATCGCTTTCGTACAGGAGCAGGATGAAATATACGTAACAGGTTTTAAACATTTAATTCTCTCGAGTTTTTTTTTATAGTTATTTTCTTTTTCTTTCTCTGATTCTAAAGAGTAATCTGTGTAGTTCTAGATTTTAACAAAAATATCTCGATAATCCCAATTTATTAAAAACATTTATTTTAAAAGCGAATAAATAATTACAATATCTCAACGATCAATGGATATATTTATTAAAAAGAAATAAATAATTATTAGACATATAAATATATTAAAACCCTTTCAGAACAGGGAAAACATTTTATTCAAAACGATGATTTTATAGTAAATAACAATGAAGTAAAACTTCAGTTTTTGTGTCACAAACAACTTACACAGAGCTCAACGTTACATTCGTTTGCATTCAAATCTAGAAGTGTTTTCTCTCGCTCCTGTAATACAAACAATACATTTTTTTGTCCTGTTGGATAATTTTCATATTTTTCACTATCAGAAGGAAAGTGTTTTGCAATTTTCGATGTTGAAAATTGCAAAGCATGATGGAAATAGACGATGACACATATCTACATCAAGAGCCTAATATAATAAAAGTGAATTAAGCCATAAAATGATTAAAATCGTACTTTATTCATTAAAAAATATTAATTCATTCTCGAGATATTCGAGTTACTGTATACGCTGTTCTGAACCAATTAAACGTAAATAATTGTCAATGTTTTAAGTAATTTTAAGATATGTTTTTAAATTTAATTAATTTCTATAACATATATATATATAAATACTTTCATATTTTTCTATATGTCTGGTCATTGAAACGCTTGTTTCATACGTGTTTGCATAATTTTGGAACTCTTCTCGACAGACAAGTGGAAACACTGCATTTTCGTGTTCGATCACAAAGGCGAACTTGTCCGTCGTATGTGCAGCAAAGGTTACGGCGAGTCCGAATTGCGCTCGCCGGAAGGGATCACATTACACCCAGAACGGAACGTGCTCTACATCGCCGATACCGGAAACAATCGCGTACAGGTTCTCGAGAAGGACGGCACGTATTTGGACTGCATCGGGCCCAAGAACAAACAACACGCGAATGGCACCGTCAGATCTTGTAAAAGCGGCCCGAGTCAATTGAATCAACCAACGGACGTGGCTGTCACGACCACGCGCGTGGTCGTTGCCGATTCCGGCAATCATAAAGTGAAGGTAAAGTGAATTTTTCAGATCTTTTCTCTGATCTTTTAATCTTGAGGAAATAAAAAAACTTACGAATTTGTTATCTAATTTGTTGTCGCAAATGCTAAATATTAAAACTATTTTTGTGTACGTAACGTAGAATTTATTTGTGTGTTGTACAGATTTTCGATCAAGATGGACAACTTCTTCAGACGTTCGGTGGTATTGGCACAGCGAAAGGCTTATTTAGGTTGATATAAAATTACAAAATTTTTTTATCGTCTTTCTCTCTTTTTGAAATACTTTTATATAAAGAAAACAATGTGTTAAAAAAAAATCATCATCTACACAGATCGCCCGAGGTGTTGAAGATCGACAAAAAGGGAAACATCATTGTCGGCGATGCTGGAAACGGAAGAGTGCAGATTTTTTCTCAGGACGGTAAATTTCTGCGGGTGTTGGGCGCCAAAAGAACTCAGGGTCACAAGTTCGGATGGGTGTCCGGTTTGTTGGTGATGAACAATTACAGTATTTTAGTTTCCGACAGCAAATCTAATCTGATATATTTATTTTAGCATACCAATTTTATAATTTTGTAGATTTGCAACTTTTCATAAGATAAATATAAGCGCAAAAATTACGTTCATAAGTTTTTGCCCGTTAAAACTTATTTACCGCGTATAAAATAGTTTAATAATGAAAAAAAGAGAATTTCAAATTTTTTTTTTTAATTCTGTTGCTAACTATTCTGAAAGATAATGGCCACACGTTTTGCGTAAATGCGCGAAAGCACGTTGTTAGTGCGATACGCAGTAATATATCGCACAATAGCGCGCGATTTTAATCAGCCATTTGCAAATGTGAACCAACTGCAGTTGACATAGCGAACATGTTACATAATAATAAACGTGTTATAGAATGTTGGATGACGTAAATTATGCTGTAAATAAATCCGATGTCTAGGTTTTGCGCGCGTATAAATGAAGCGTGACTACACACAAAATCATCGTAATACAAGAGTGGCATCTAAAGAGGATAGATAACCATATAAATATTTTAATGTTTCGCTAGCTCTGCTTGTGTCGCTACACACACACCGTACGATAGTTGTAGATCTTTTTTTAACTCGTATTTTAATTAATTTTAAGTAATTTTCTTTGTAAACAGAAACTAAATAATGTATAAAGTAATTAATTACGCAATTCGATAATTAATTTAACAAAATTAACTCGCGATATTTCACAAATTATGTAAATTCATTACATCATGAAATCAATTTCAATTAGTACTTTTTACTACAAAATGCGTACCTATTTTCTCTCTCTCTCTCTCTCTCTCTCTTTTCTCTTGTAGTAACACGTAATTGCACAATACACACCAAGATTCTGAATCCGCAAAGACCAATATAACGCGGTTCGTTAGACAAACAGGATCGAGAATAAATGCGATGATGTTTGTTTTTCCCAAACCGCGTTTCCAATCGCAGATCAAACAACGTCGCGGCGGTGCGGAGGCGCCGCTCTCATCCGTTCGTTTGACCAATAAATAATTTCGCAAACAAATTGATCCCCCGGGACTATAAACAGATACTTAAAGGCACGCGCATCCGTGACCCGGCGAATAAATTGTCTCGGCACGAGTGCGACGGTAAATCGCAACGTCGGACAATAAGAAATCGTTTCGCAACAGCACAGACCCCTACTGTGAGAACCGAAGTGGGCCCCGCGGCGTGAAATCTCTATTATTCCGGGGGTCGAGGCGACTCGAGAGCACGCGTTCCGGACCCGTTCGGCGAACACGCGCGTGTATACGTGCGTGCGTACGCGTACACCAAGGGGTAGCGCACTGGCGCTGACAGGCAGGATAGTCGGCCACACAGTCCTCGCCCCTCGAAAATAATGTAATCGCGAATTAAATGTTTGCTCCGATATCGACGATCTTCAGATACCTCTTCGCGTTCGAGGAAATCCAATCTGGACTGGAAGTTTTATTTTGACAATCGCAGGACAATCACAGACCGGCCTGTGTTACGCAATAATAATACTCTCGATTAGACGGTGCAACAAAATTGTAGGATAATGATATGTAATAATTTTTTTTTTCTATTGCTACAGAGGAGAGCGTAATTTATTTTAAAAATATTTTATAAAATATTTTAAGAATGTGAATTGTTTACTCTTTTGTTATAAAGGAGAACGGGATAATGACGCTCATTTAAGAAAATTTATTATTATCTTTATGCTCAATTGGTTTTTCATCGAGTATATCTTTTATATCGTCACTCCCTACGTATAATCCCGTAACTCCAAAACGCAAATTTTAGAGGAGAGCAGTTTAAAAGTATAAAGCTTCATAAGTTTCCCTATAGTTAGGGATCTTTCGGTTTCAAATTTGTACCTTATTTATGAATATTTTTTTTAAATATTTGGTGACCATAAAGAACATGACTTTCTAAGTGTCATTATGCAATAAACTGAAAATCCCATATGTGACACTTATGTAATTATACGTAGGGAGTGACGATATATATACAGGGTGTCTTAGAAGTGATGTAACATCTCTCGTAGACAGGTAGAAGAAGTAAAACTGAGTCGATAAGTTCTATACCCCATTTTGCTAGATTCGCAATAGTTACCGAAATCTTAATTAACAAAGATCCGCGAATAAGCGTGCGTCGGGCTGTCTTACGCGCGTAGGACAGCCTGGCGCGCTTCGCACAATTACATTTTAATATGTATATGTTATAGTATATGCTGTTATATTAGCTCCTCCCATATGCTGATACGGATAACACCGTAAGCACGCGAAGCGCACTGGGCTGTCTTAAGCGCGTAAGACACAGCCCGATGCATGCTTATTCGCGGATCTTTGTTAATTAAGATCTCGGTAACTATTGCAAATCTAGCAAAATGGTATAAAACTTTTTGACTCAATTTTACTCCTTCTATTTGTTCACGAGAGATGTTACACCAATTCTGGGACACCCTGTATATATTTTATATATAGTCAAAATTTAATTTATTCGTAATATATGAAGATCACAAGAAAAGAACTTGAGATAATTCATATTTTTGTAATTTTAGAGGAAAACGATTTTAAAGTTCGAAACGTACATGTATTTCTCTGTTGCACGTTTTATAAAAATGCTTATATCTCGGAATTTATCAAGAAGTTTTCTCTCTCGCTTGGTAAATACTCTATTTTAATTATCCAATTATCCTTCTTTATTATCAAATAACATCAAAAACAGAAAAAAAATAGACTTAAGTTCTTCTCCTCTGGTCTTCATATGCATAATACTACGTTATTTTAAATAAATTGTACATGAGAGAGAAGTAAGACATTAAATAAAAAGTAACATATATCATTCTTCTTAAGATTCTTATACTTGAGGTTTGGCCTGCTGAGTGCTGTGACCCCATTCTCTTCCTATAGAGAGTAGAAAACTTATAAAAAAACTAAATAATTTTGTTTAAGTACTTACGAAATATTCAATATGTAAAATACAATAAAATAGTATTAAATGTATCAAATGCATTAAATAAAGTATGATTTAATGTAAACATTTGTTTGTTTGAGAGAAGGCCAATACGAGGAAAATACCAGATGTTATTGTAAAGAACATGTATTTATTAAGAATATGAGCATACGTTTCGATCCTGGTTTTGGATCATCTTCAGTGGTAAACTGCAGTAATAGAATGGTCATATTCTTAATAAATACATGTTCTTTACAATAACATCTGGTATTTTCCTCGCGTATCGGCCTTCTCTCAAACATATTGAAATTTTCACGGGGACTCAACTACTCACTTTTGTAAACATTTGTATTCGAAATGTATTTTATATTCGACATTTGTATTCGAAACATATTTATTTAACACATGTAATTTGAAAATATATTTGAGTACATTGCGGTTTTCTTTCTTTCTCACGCACGTGTGTTGGAGCGCGAATGATACGGAGGGAGAAAAAGGTAGTGCATATATATTCAGAGAACGAATTCTCGGGTCCCCATTTTTCTCTCAGACGCGACAAATTGAGATAAATAATAGTTTGCGGAGAGACAAAGCTCCACTTGAAATTTGTTATGGTGATACTCGAACCGGCACGCTCCCCCCAGAGTAACTGATGACCGATACGCGAATAAAAATGATACTCGAGTTACATCTCGACGCTGATGATCATTCGACGCAAGCGGAACGCGATCCAAAGTTCTCAAAGTAGTAAATTCGACGATTTAAAATCAGTATGTAAAAAATAAAGTTTTTATTAATTTTTTTAACCCGAGAATAGGATGGGATGTACATTACTTTAACAGTAAGTAAAAGTGAAACCCGCTTTGCGTCTATCTACGTTTTATTAAATATCAATAAAGCAATTTTTAACATGTACAATAACTTGATTTTAAATTAAAACAATAGTTTTTAAATTGGAGTAATACACATCCGAAAATAACTTTCAAATTAGAAACGCGACAATTCTCGGGATAAAAAAGTGCCTGTACGCATAATTTCTCATAACAAATCGAAATATGCAAATTGAATCCGTCCGCGAGGATCGATCTCTCGCGACACAAAAGGACATTGCGGTGACAAGGACCGTGTAATGTTCTCACAGGTTCGCAAAGCGTAATCCTAATTATATGCATATCGTTGTGCGTGCGGAACCAGCCAATAATAATTCGACAATACCTACGACGAGGATCAACCGCGAGCCACCCTCTTTCTCGCGCCGAACTTGTTTCAACGGGGACAAAACTTTGCCCGGTGTAGTTAGGATAGGTAGGTACAACCCCGGCGAACCACCATTGTGATCGTATTAACACCTCGCATAATTGCACCGTCGCGTTCCTCTCTCATCGCGCGTGCACCGAACACAGCTCATTTGAATATCGGCTCATTCACACCACCGCTGAGAAGCCTAATAATCACGCCCTAAAAAGAGACGTCGTCTATATAATCGTTAATCGACTTCGATTGTCATTTTTATTCCTTACTTGTCATTCTACTACCTAGAAGCTTTCTCAGGCTCTCATGAACAATAACGGAAACAACCGAGAGATTTCTTGAAATTTTAAAAATTATTTGTATTTTCTTCTTTTCTCTCTCTCTCTCTCTCTCTCTCTCTCTCTCTTTCTTCTCATATATAGGCAGAAAGAAAAAGAGAGGGAGAAATAATTTCAGATCCAAAGAAGCGCGCAAGACAGTCGTATTTAATCAAAGAAATGCTCGCAGTATTTCACCACACACGTCCATGGGTAAAATTGAAAATTGCTCTGCCATTCCCCCTTGCAACTTCACTTCTTCCTCCACCATGTCTACGAGAATAAATCCACTCCTCCTTCCCTCCCTTCCCGCCCACGTCGCTGTTGAGATGACGACGTGCATCGGGGCGGAGGGGGGAGGGAAGTAGGTGGGAACGAATAAAATCTCTGCGGGGGTGCGCCTCGTCGTTCTCGGACCGATAAAACCCTTCGCCGGGCACATCCATCCGCCAATCCTGTGCGCATCTGATAATCGCGTCGGACGCGCGTCGCAGCTCGCCATTGGCCGCAAACCCGCCCAGGGGTTGGTATCGATTATCTTTCGCGCGGGCTCGGTGTCTTTCATATATAAAGCGGCCTCCCCAGGGACTTCGCCGATAGTACAAAATCCGCGTATTCTCCAGGATACGGAAGATTGCTCGAGAGCGATCTATCAATCGGTCGCAGCAAGATCGATACAAAAAAAAAAAAAAAAAAAAAAATAACAGTAATAATCAAAAACAGTTTGTTTCGTGAATTTAACGTTGTGAAGAGAAATTCCGATTTCCGGTTTCGAAACAAAAGAGAGATTTGCGATAGTTTTAAGAGTCACGCTTTGAGTGGAGCTTCAGTTTTGGTTTGTCGTAAACGATCTCGCGAAATAGTGACACCGAATGAGATCGTAAGACCGTGCGTTATGGCGAATCACCATACCGCGTACGATTTCGAAGACAGAGGACAGAGAATCCGCCATCGAGTCGGGACCACGTCGAGACCTGCTGATTCCACCGTGGCCTGTACCAGGTATTGTGTACTACTAAAGTTTTTCCGAGTTCTCCATTATCACACGATTAAATTGCATCTTCTAACGATCAAACATATCATAGAAAACACACAATGGAAAACATACCAATTCGTAATTTTCACATTACTAATCTTTCAATAAAAATTATTAAAATCCATAAAGAAGTGAAATCGTTCGTGTATCAGTGCGAATATAGCAAGTAGCAAGTTTTAATCGGACAACTTGTGAGATCTTTAATTTCTCAAGCGTAGTTTCTGAGAAATTATTTTTCACGGTTAAAAAAGTAAGCGTACGCGAAATAAAAGAAAAATTAAATGTGTCGCTTGTAGATATGTCATGAAGTTAATATCACACGAAACAAATACTGGCTTACTTATCGCTTTATTTTATCTCACATAAAGATTGTTCTCACAATTTTACGAATAATTTTTTGTGTAGTTCTTGAGTGAGATCATCTTCAGCGCACAAGAGCGGGCGTTGAGTTTCTTTGATGATTTTTTCAATAAATGCGTGCGATACACTTGTGACTTTGTGTCTTTGTTTTTTGTTTCAATATTTTCGTAACTTTGCAGTACGCAATATTACGTGGGGCCTAGTAGTGATATCATTGAGGAAGATTTGGCCGAATTACCGTCATGCGTTTATGCGAGCAGATCGACGCAACACGTCACACACACGACACCACACGCACATTCTCCCTTGCACTACCATATGCCAGTTTCGACCCCAGGTAAAGGAAAAAAAAAAACCATAAACTACGAAATAATCGTAAAATGACTTAAAATCAAACCGATTGGATGTATTGCGTTGTATCAAATCGTTTGTAGATCATAACGACACGGAAATGAACGGTGTGGAAGAGGGTTATTATCCAAACGGTAGCCCCTACAGAATTCAACGGCACGCTGCTAACATTCGCGAAAGAAAACGCATGCTCAGGTAAGAAAGTTTTAAAAAATCAAAATCTTGCAAATTAAAGAACTCGCGCAATGCGGTATACATTTCAGGTATAACACACACACATACAATGGTTATTTGTTTTTTTTTGTTTTTTTAATATTATCACATCACAATTATCTTGGAAGAGTGTGTGCTCACATTCGGCAGATTGTCAGTGTGATTGCAATTTTTAGCAGCATCAACTCGGCTTTCGACGAGCTCCGGGTCCACGTACCAACGTTTCCTTACGAGAAGAGGCTGTCCAAAATCGATACTTTGCGTCTGGCAATAGCGTATATCGCGCTTCTGCGCGAGGTCCTGGCCGCCAGGCTCGATCCTTTGACGTACGTCGAGAGGTGCCTTAGGGGTGAGATAAACGGCGAACGCGCCGAATGGAACACGAGCGGTGCGTTTCACATAAAATCTCAATCTATTTAATATGTTAATTTGTAGCTTTCTCGAGATTGTCGATTACTTGTTGCAGATTTAACGGCACGCTTGTCTTGGATTAATTGGGAAAATCTCGGAGTTAATCCAAATCGGCGATCGGTGCTCACCACCCTCGCACTGACAACTGACAATATGAATTAAAAACAAATCGAGACGAACGAAAAGGTTTTGCAAGTTATACTTTTTTTTTTCTTTGTAAATACCTTCACGTTGGATTAGAGAAGAAGAGAGAGAGAGAAAGAGAGAAAGATAGAGAAAAACAAAAGTACACACGTATTTAAAAGGACTTTTTCGCGACCTCGCGGTTTTGATTTACGTGCAATATGAGCGATGTGTATTGTACTCACTATCTACGTGTATGTGTAAAAGGACTAGTTAGTATAATTTAGTATTTGCTTTGGAATAAAATCACTGCTATTCGACTCTTAGCTGTCTTTGTTCTTTATTTACGACAACGCTATACACTGAGAACACAGTAATGTTTAAAAAAAAAACTGACAAATCGGAAAGACCCGTTGTGTTTTTATTCTTGTATCAGTATTAATATTTCAAATCATTACAATATTTGTTATTAAAAATATATCAAGAGGCACGGTAGTGCCTCGCGCCAAGTTCACGCGCAACGAAGTTGCGCTCAAACGGCACGCGCGAGGCACCCGTGTCTATTATTTTATTTTATATTATTACGCGAAATTCACAAAATTGAGAAGTGGCGAGATTTTCACGGGGCAATATTTCAAGAACGATTAAACCGATCACTTTCGTTTTAGTCTTAATCAATTCAGAATAAAACATTTAAAAAAAAAGTATTCTTGCATTTTGTTTGTTTGTGGATTCTGGAACGGAGGTAATGGAAGATAATACGAAAATGTGTGTGAAATTTACATTCAGAAACGTCATCATGATCGTCGTCGTGCAACCAAATTGTGTGCATGTTCAGAAAGTGTGAGTTAGAGAGAGAAAGAGAGAATCAAGAGACACGGTAATGACGATAGTTTCGAGTCACATTTCAAGTCTAACGCACAAAAACTCTTTCGTATAACGCGTTATACGTTATAGTTGAGTGATAAACTTAGCTATAAACTTAGACTCGTTGCGTTTTATATTACATATAAGTACAAATCTAAGTTTATAGCTAGTACTTAATTGACATAACGTAACGCGGTACAAAAGAATTTGTGCGGTGAATCTTCACGCGCAACGAAGTCGAATCGTGTGTTGTGAATGTGTGACAAGTATGTATCAATTTTCAATCAATAACTGTGCATTCAGTTCCACATGTTACCTGCTCAAATATTAATATAAGCAATTATCTAACTTTTCTTTTTGTATGATCAGACAGATTGCTTATTATTATGAGTGAGCAGATAACATGCAGATATTATAGAAGAAAGTTTTGTTAACTTAACTAACTTTTATTTTACAGACTGTTACGCACTACTCTATATTTGATACAATTTTAGCAAAGGCAGTACGTATGTTGGCAAAGATTGAGAATGAAATATACATGAATCCACAACAGGAAGCTATTTCCTTCCGGACAGTTAAAATGGCAAAATCAGCATATTTTACATTCCATAAAAATTTCTTTTTTTATTACACTCCCGGAGATCTTGAAGAAGAAGCACAGAAGTAAAACATTTTCATGGGAGTAATAATCTAATCTATTATCTCTAATAAGATATTATTTAAATATTCATCAATTATTCTGTAATTTTTACAGAGCGCCATAACTATCTTTCTGCTAATACATCAGACAAACAAGTGGAGACTAGTCATATCTGTTTGGAAGTAGATGCCTGCAATCTGATATTTATTTGAAAATACAACAATGGTATCAACAAGTCTCACTTGTCATCTTAGATTGCGAGAAGTTACAAGTACAAAAACACATGTTTTTGTAAAATAGTTTAAAAACCATTTGACAATTATGAACTTTTCAATTGTTATCAAAAAACTTTGCTTCACAATTTTATTTATCCGAATATCAATTATTTTATAATAAATTTATACACATACACTAGGCATATTCCAAGGTTGAAATGCACAATAAATTAGCATGGCAAGCTGCGTGTGTGAAGTTGGCGTATCATTTCGTGGAAATTCACTTAAAATTGAGACTTCTGGCTTTATTTTCTATAGTTCTATAGTTCTTGATAGTTTAAACAAATAGTTCTGCTTATTAAAGCGAAAAAATCGCTTCGGACAAAGTGAGACGTCAAGTTCACGATGCGTCTCACTTTGTCCGCGGCAAGTTTTATATTCAATTTTCACTCAAATTTGATAGTTTTATAGTTCTATACGAGTTCTAAACAGAGTTATGCATTTTTAAACTACTATTGACAGGGGAAGTCTGATTATAGCTTTTTTATATATACAGGGTGTCCCAGAATTGGTGTAACATCTCTCGTAGACAGGTAGAAGGAATAAAACTGAGTCGATAAGTCCTATATCATTTTGCTAGATTCGCAATAATTACCAAGATTTTAAGTAACAAAGATCCGCGAATAAGCGTGCATCGNGCTGTCTTACGCGCGTAGGACAGCCAGACGCGCTTCGCACAATTACATTTTAATATGTATACATATGTTATAGTATATGCTGTTATATTAGCTCCTCCCATATCGCTATGGGTAACACTGTTAGCGCGCGAAGCGCACTGGGCTGTCTTACGCGCGTAAGACAGCCCGATGCATGCTTATTCGCTGATCTTTGTTAATTAAGATCTCGGTAACTATTGCGAATCTAGCAAAATGGTATAGGACATTTTGACTCAGTTTTACTCCTTCTATTTGTTCACGAGAAATGTTACACCAATTCTGGGACACCCTGTATACTCACAAATACAAGTACGATGATGTACGCATTCGACAATACTGATCCTAATGCACTACTTCTTTTTTTCTGAACTTCTGTAACTATTTTCACAAAAATAAAAAATAACATAAATTAATCACAATAATTATTAACCCACTCGAACTTGCCCGCTACCGGCACAATTAAAACTCATAAGACGCTAAACGTTTTGTAACAAATCTGACACACCTGTTGCAATTCTCGCATAGTTCTGTATCAATTTGTTGAGAGTTCTGTCGATTATTACGACGTACGTTTGTTTAAACAATTAAAATCATCCGACAACGAGGAACCTACGTTAAAACTGCGAGACGCTGCACGTTTTCCAAGAGTTCTGACAACTCTGTTGATGTTCTCGCATAGTTCTGTCTCTAGTGTATCAATTTGTTGAGAATTCTGTCGATTATTACTACAATTGTTAAACATGATATTTATTTTACAACAATGTATTTGGTTTTTGTAAATATATGTTGTAAATGTAGATTGTTCTCTCTCTTTCTCTTTCGTTTTCTCTTTTTCTCTTTCTCTTTTTCTTTGTGTGTGCGTGTGTGTTTGTGTGACATTACTACACAGACTGGGTAGGAGAGTGATGAAGAAGGATTGGAAGTGAAAAAATAGGGGTGTGGGAGAAAAAGAGTGAGAGAGAGAGAATGTGGTAAAGTAAATGTCGTGGAATAGATATGTGTAAATCTGACTTTAGTTTTTGCGTGTGTATATATCTTTATATAAAATTGAAACATATATTATTTAATATATAATAACATAGTATATATATATATCTTTATAATATTAATATATTATTGTAATTATATGAATGACACGTACAAGAGTAATATTTTTATATTAGATTGTTTTTATATTAATACTTTACTTATATTATGTTATTAAACAATACAGGTTTCAAACACTTATATAAAAGGATAATACTTATATCAATATAATACTTATATCAATACATTGTTTCTGTGCTACATACAATATTATATTATGTATACACACACATACAATATAATAATATAAAATATTTAGAGTCTTCAAACATATATATACACACACAATATAATATAGTATATAGCACAGAAACAATATATTGATACAAGTATTATATTGATATAAGTATTATCCTTTTATATAAGTTTTTGAAACTTGTATTGTTTAATAACATAATATAAGTAAATTATTAATATAAAAACAATCTAATATAAAAATATTACTCTTGTACGTGTCATTCATATAATTACAATAATATATTAATATTATAAAGATATATATATATACTATGTTATTATATATTAAATAATATATGTTTCAATTTTATATAAAGATATATACACACGCAAAAAATAAAGTTAGTCAGATTTACACATATCTATTCCACGACATTTACTTTACCATATTCTCTCTCTCTCTCTCTCTCTTTCTCTCATTCTTTCTCTCTCACTTCCAATCATTCTTCACCACTCTCCTACCCAGTCTGTGTAGTAATGTCACACAAACACACACGCACACACAAAGAAAAAGAGAAAGAGAAAAAAAGAAAACGAAAGAGAAAGAGAGAGAAAGAGAGAGAACAATCTACATTTCTAAAATATATTTACAAAAACCAAATACATTGTTGTAAAATAAATACCATGTTTAACAATTGTAGTAATAATTGACAGAATTCTCAACAAATTGATACACTAGAGACAGAACTATGCGAGAACTGCAACAAGTGTGTCAGATTTGTTACAAAACGTTTAGCGTCTTATAAGTTTTAATTGTGCCGGTAGCGGGCAAGTTCGAGTGGGTTAATAATTATTGTGATTAATTTATGTTATTTTTTATTTTTGTGAAAATGGTTACAGAAGTTCAGAAAAAAAGAAGTAGTGCATTAGGATCAGTATTGTCGAATGCGTACATCATCGTACTTGTATTTGTGAGTATATATATAAAAAAGCTATAATCAGACTTTACCTGTCGATAGTAGTTTAAAAATGCAGAACTCTGTTTAGAACTATAAAACTATCAAATTTGAGTGAAAATTGAATATAAAACTTACCTCGGACAAAGTGAGACGCATCGTGAACTTGACGTCTCACTTTGTCCGAAGCGATTTTTTCGCTTTAACAAGCAGAACTATTTGTTTAAACTATCAAGAACTATAGAACTATGGAAAATAAAGCCAGAAGTCTCAATTTTAAGTGAGTTTCCACGAAATGATACGTCAACTTCACACACGCTCGCAAGCTTGAGTGTTGGTTGATGCTTTGCAAAATTTATGATTTAAATAACACTTAAGATAACATCCAATAAGGTTTTACTCAGAATTATGTGGATGATTCATCAGGTAAATAAAAACTAAACAAACTGCAAATCATTATAATATATGTACATATAATGTTAAGAGATATATAAATTTAGTAATTATAATTTGAAACCTTAAAATTCGAAAAAAATATGCAATAGAAAATATAACATATAATCAAGAAAAATTTATTTAGTTTATTACATTTGAAAAACTTATCTTTCCAAAAAAAGATAAAAAAGGGCGTTAAGTACACGCACAACACATATTGTATTGTCTTTAAAAAAAATTTGGTATACAAAA